GTTCTTTGTTGGGGCTGGCCGTGACTGAGGAGGAGCATTGAGTGATCTGAGGCACTTTTGACTTTGTTGAAGATTAGAGCAGTAGGAAATTCCAGAATCCAATCACTTGTTGCAAATGCCCTGTCTAGTTTCTCCTCTACTAATCCTTCTTCTCCCCTGAGGTTACACCATGTGAATTTATAGCCTTGCATTGGTAGCTCTTCCATCTCCATGTTATTGATAAATGTGTTGAAACCCAAGAAGCTGCTAGCATTCCTCAGAGAACCTCCCAATTTTTCTTCTTTTGTACATAGATCATTCCAGTCACCCATAGCAAACCACATATTGCCCCAACTAGCTTTATCCCTTTCCAGCTCTTCCCATTGAAGGATTCTATCCATCTTATGAGAACTCATGTACACAAAAATACCCCATTGAGTTGGGCCAGAATTCAAAGCAAAATTAACAGCAATATAGAAAGATTTTTGAATAATATTGATAATGTTTACATTAGAGTCCCACAAAAGTAACAAACCCCCACTAAGTCCAACAGGGTCTACAAAAGAAAACCTATCTACATAACCCAACTTCCTAGCTACAGATTGAACAAAACCACTGGTTTTTTTTGTTTCAGATAAAAAGAAAAAAGTGGGGTGGTGAGCCTTGATGGTCTCTCTGATTTGGGAAATTGTAGAGGGCCCACCCAGCCCTCTACAATTCCACACCGCAGCTAACATTGGGAGTTGGGGTGCCATTTGAGGCTGGCATCCCCCACCTGATCTTGTTTTCCTTTGAGCTTTTTGTTTGCAGATGTGCCAATAAGGGTAGTATCTTGTTCAGAGAAGTGAGATGAAGGTGGAGAATCCTCTCTGTGTCTCTTGGTGTCAGGGTTATCTTGTATCATCAGTTCCATACCATCATTCCTTTGAAGTCTCCCTTCCCTGCTCAGTGCCCTCTTCCATGTTTTCTGTTTCAACCCTGATAATGTCTTTGGAGGTTTGGTAGAACTAACCTTCTCTTGAGCTGTAGATGGAAGAGGTTGAAGAGCTAATTCCAAATCCATCATCTGGTTTTGATGCTTCTCTTTCACTTCAATTATGCTCAGTGCCATATGTTCCTTGCCAGTTAATGAAGTTGGCTGTCTAGTTGATGAGGGAGGAATTGGTGTTACCTCCTCCTCGTTGGAATTGGAAGCCACTGTGTCAGGTGAGGAGTGTTTTGGGAGTGGTTCCTGAACCTGGACTATCTGCTTCCCCTTGTCATTTATGTGTGCTGGTTTCTCGGGAGATGAGGAAGAGTTTGGCACCTTACTAGATGATGGAGAGGATCTGGTACCTGAGAAACCTAAGTCTATCCAGTTTTGGCCCTCCACAGCTTTGATCCAATCTCTATACTGACCTTCCCTTACTGTTCCCGTTTTTATTGCTACCATTCTCTGTTTGCAGCTTCTGTCAAGATGGCCGATGAACCCACAATAATAACAAAGATTATTCAGCTTTTCATATTTGAAACCCACTCTGATTATTTGATCTTCCAGTTGAATATTGGTGCATCTAGGGAGTGGCTCAGTAATATCTAAGGAAACTAACAATCTGAGTATCCTTCCACCATGAGGCCCTGAGCTAGCGATGACAACGTTTTGAACTGCTTTGAAAATTCTCCCAATTTTGAGCCCGACCTCTGTACTAAGACAGTTGATAGGAAGATTCCATACCTGAACCCATAAGTTTATGGCCTGAAATGCAGGATGGTTGCTTGTCAAACCCTTTTCCCATTCCTTGAGAACAATATACTGGTTCTCAAAACTCCAACTATATCCGTCCGCTACTTTCCTCATATCCTCTTTGCTCTGGAAGACAAATTGGAAAAAGTTGAATCCCAGTTCCTTGACTTCCATTTGTTGTTGCAGCCTCCATATATGGCTCATCGCTTTTTTGATTCCCAGCCAACTTGCTTTCCGGTCACCAATAACTTTATCGAAAAGGCTTCTTTGGCATTCCTCCGAACACACTTTGATGTCTTCACTCTCTATTCCAGTGATTAAGCTCTCCTTTTCCGAGAGGGAAAAGCTCTTGATTCTTTCCGCCAGATCTTCGTCTTGCCCTATGCAGCTGGATTCCGCCATTTTTAGGGTTTAGCTTACCAAATGTTCTCAACCGCTACACCAATATCAATCAATTAAGAAGGTCGATTATCAAGCTTCAGTGAAAACTCTGAGTTTGCTCCCACCTGAGAGAATCGTCGGAACTGCTCTCACCCGAGAGAATCATATAGCTGTGATGCCGATTCAACCTGTTCAACCGTCTATTTTACTGGTTTCAATAAATATTAAATTAATTTGTTATTATAATATAAATAATGTATAAAATTAACTTGAATTAATTCTAAAATTAATTAACACCTAATAACAATGTAAACATATTAAAATTAAGTGTAGAACATTCAATTTATATAAATAAATTAATGAAAATATATTAGAAATACTTTTTCTTAAAATAATTGGCATAAACCGGTATTTTGACCAGTATTTTGGCCGGTATTTACCTGTAAAACCGATATTTTACGGTATGAAGCCAGTATAAACTGGTATTTTGGCCAAAACGGTATTTTGAATGTAACCGTACCGGTTGGTACGGTATGGTATTTATAACAATGATCGTGGACCATAGAGTTAGTTGGACCTAACTGATAATAGTCAAACCTAATTGAAGTGATTATGTATTTCATGGATTATTAACCATTCTAACATTAAAGAACTCAATTTGTGATGTTTGACTTAGATAATAAGTTAGGTTAAAACATGAGCAACGTTTGTAGGATTAAGATTGTAGGCCTCCTCTATAAATACTACTACGCGACCCTCTCTCTTGTCTGAAAATAGAGTTCTCAACATCAAGTGTTTTATAAAAAGACGAAAGACGCGCAAGAGAGAAACAATTCGTAGGCAAAAACGAATACGTCATTAGAGAGGACGAGAAAGACGAACATAAATCAAGAGCAGATAAATGCTAAAAGTCGGACTTTTGTAAGTTCTATATATAATTTAACTAATGCAAATGTCCATATTCTATGAACTAATAGAATTATATGAATAAGATTTATTTAACTCTGCATAATAATTATGAATATACCCGTTAAATTTCCGTACAAAAACCAAAACCAATTGTTAAGGTTGTAAGCCAAATTTTAGATTAGCAATATATAACATCAAAGGCAATTGAGCGCTTCAAAATAAAAAGGTGGTCTGAATATTCAAACAAATATACGAAAAGTAGAATATTTGCAATAGGCGATTAATAAATATTAAGTCGTTGTAGTATAGTGGTGAGTATTCCCGCCTGTCACGCGGGTGACCCGGGTTCGATCCCCGGCAACGGCGTTTTCTTTTTACATTTTTCCCCTCAAATGCGCTTTTATTTTTTTATCCTTTTTCCTATAAAACGCGTTTGGTTCCTTTTCTCCTTAGCGTTTTCCATCCTCAACTGCTGTTTTTTGAGAACTTCATTGAAACTCGTTCTTCTATTGCTTCAAAACAAGAAAAGGACCCACGAAACGATCAAACGTTTGAAGAATCGTTTCCTTATTGTTCCTTTTAAATTCCATTTTCCCTTCAGTATGAGAAATTGATATCGTGTATGAACACCAGCAAACCATCTATTTTATATCACGAAAATAAGGGTTAATTGTGCATTAATTTAATAAATCTGACCTTGGAGGCCACTTTCAATAAAAATTTACTCTGGAAATGTGTCTCAATTGTTTTAAAGAAAATTAGTATAATACAGTGTATTACACTCGTTATTGTTAATAATTTATACTTAAAATTTTAAAAATAATTAAATTTTTTTTTTATATTATAATATTTTTTGATTTCATATCATATAACTACATTGTAGTTAAATTAATTTCAATAATTTTATTTTTTATAAATAATATTAGATAGTTTTTTATTTTAAAGATAAATATTTATTTTGTATGTACAATATATATGTCAAATCGAAGATCATAAGAGATGATTACTTTTATATATTATATATAAAATAATAAGTAAAAATTACTAACTTTTAAAATATATTTATAACTTAAGTTAGTAAATTTTTCTATAATTTCAAAAGAAAGACTAAGCTAAACAGAAAGATTGGAGAAAAAATAATGTCGTATAAACCACTTCTACAATAAGAAATGATAATTAAAATATAATTAATATTCCTAAAAACGATCATAAATATTCAGTATATTTATGTTTATTCCAAAGTTAATTATTTTTTAATTGGAAGTAAATTAAAAAATATCCAAACCAAATGACAAAACATGAAAATTTATCATATACGCGCGGGAATATAGTCACAGTACATTTAAAAATTATATATAGGGAAATATGGCTCATGGAAAGCCTAAATGAAATAAGAAATAGGAAATAAAAATAAATAAATAAATAAGTACGATCTTCAATCTTCATCCACAACCACCTGCACTATTGACAACACATCTAGTAAGTTTGAAATGAGCTCCAAGCAATTCAAACATAACTGAGCTCTAAGCAATTCAAACATAACTTAGCTCTAAGCAGTTGGAACTCTCAACACTTCTTTTTAGTTGTTCATGTGTAACAGGTATTATATAGATCAAAATGTTGAGAAATTACAGAAATACTTTATTAATGGAGTTTTAGTAATTTGAAAGATCACAACAGTTCTCCTTTTGTACTAAACCTCAATTTCAAAAGCAGCACTTGCAAAGTATACCTCCCAATAGACAAGCCATAACTTGGCTTAATCAAGGCAAACTCCCACACACTCCCAACATCTTTACTTGTCCATTACACCAAAACCTACATATTTATTAGTCTTTGCAGGTCAAGAACCCAAGCAAAAGTCACACTTGGCATACATAAACACACCTGCAAAGTACTCTGAAAATCATCCCCTCAAAAGAGGCTAAAAAAACATCACTAAAAACACAACCCACATAAGAAAAAAGATCAACATTAGTTTTTTTACCACCACCATCAACGTTTCTTC